TGTGTTCTGTTCCATGCCCTTAGTGTTTTTCCTTGGTGTGGTGGGATCAGATCGGGCAGAATCCCCACATTGTGTCTCCAGTGTTGTCCCCTGTAGGGCTATAGTTCAGTGAGGGATGTAGTGTCTCATAGTGGGGACAGCCATATGATCCTCTCTGTGCGTTGGCTGTTCTGAGCAGGAAAATTGTCCTCAAGACTTGGTGGGCCAGAATGCTGTCCACTCTCTCTTCCTCCCCCTTCATTTGCTCTGAACAGATATGTCCCTCTCACTGAGCTGCAGCTTCAGTGCTATCCTCTGAAATAAATTCTTCTGGGGGGAGGGGCAGGTGTCCACTTAGTTGGGATTGGGGCTGGCCTCAAAGACCTTGCCATCTCTAGATTTTCTACCACAATATATTTCTGATCCAGAAATCTCAAGTCTGTTCTGTGACACTCGCTCTTTCCTACAAAACTTAACTGTACCTTCATCCAAACAGCTCAGACTGAAGTGGTGAGGATAAGAACATAGCAGCTGAATTGTCAACTGGTCTGACACAGTGCAAAGACTGCTAACTTTCACAAGCTGTGTCTGATAGGGACTGCCACCTGAAGATAATCACTTCTGTCACCCTGGATCACACTGGTGGCTGAGGACCAAAAGGAAGCCAGCTCAAAGCCTCACCTATCAGTGGTGAGTGACAACACACCCTCTGCCACGCCCCTACTCCATGTGAAGCTGGAGGGGGAGCATGTGCTGCACTGAGTGCTAGATGGACGCCACCCTCACGTGGGGGCATCCTCTGCTTGCTGAGAACTGAAGAACCACAGCGCGAGATGAGCAGCCTGTCCCCTGCAGGCAAATGTGAGCAAGTAGAACTCCTTCCAGGGCCAGGTGGAATGCCTGGCTGATCTTTGAACACACAAGAACTTCCTCCTGATCAAATGATGATCTGTCTCACACATCTTCTAGGTCAGCAAGGGCCTAGCCATGCACATTGTCCTCCTTTTTGTATATTCCGTCCCACTCTGGCCCTGCCAACCCCCTTCTCTCCGGTTCTTTCTCTTCCTCCTTTTGTTCCCCCGGTTTTCCTTTTACATTCTTCTCTTCTTTGTCACCATCTCTACTTGTATTTTTCCCTTCTTTTCTTTCTTTTCCTCTGTCACTCTTTTTATGTATTGATTTCTTTCTTGTCCAACTGTCCAGCCACACCAGTACCTTCTTTAGCCCCTCCCTCCACCTTAGGATTTTTTAATGGTACAAATACTGAGGGAAATAGCAAGGCATTTCATTAGAAAGTTAAGAAATAAAAATGCCAAATATTCTACCAATCCTTTTACTTAGTATATATCCTAAGGAAATAAGAACTACAACATGAATAGATATATATTCACTCATGTTCACAGTACTATTAGTGACAAAAACAACCTAAATGTCTATTGATGGAATATGGTACACACACCCCACAGACTACCACGCAATGTTAAAAAAACCAACAATGACTGTAAAACATGTCACAGGCGAGCCTGAAGGGCATTATGTTGAGTGAAATAAGTCAATCACAAAGAACAGATAATAGATGAGAACACTACTGATCTGTCAGTTGGTCACACTGTAGTAGCTTGTGAGTTGCTATGATGCTGGAACCTAGGTCATTGGTATTTTAAATACCAGCAGGTCACCCAAAGAGTTTCCCGTCTAAGAAGTGACTTTGAAGAAAAAAGCAGGTTATCCACTTTGAATTAGACACTGAAAACTTTATGGATAGCATTGAAGCAAAGAAGTTATTTTGAGGACTAAGGTACACCTAACCCAAACCATGGTATTTACAATGGCTTCATATGCATGTGAAAGTTGGAAGGGGAAAAAAGGAGCTGATACCAAGGGCTCAAAGAGAAAGTGAATATTTAGAAAATGATGATGGCAACATATGTACAAATATGTGTAATATAATTGATGTATGGATTGTTAAAAGAACTGTAAGAGCCCCCAATAAAATGATCTTTTAATAATAAACATAAAGAAAAAAAAGTGGGGGGGGGAGTTGGACATGGAATACGGATGCCCAAAGAAGAACTGATACATCTGA